CGTGTCGTCTGGTTGGACGCTCCACTGAGTTGTGGCTTTTACAGAGAACTGTGCTCAGATGCGGTGAAATGAAAAGTGGCGTCCGGTGCAATATCTACATCAAGAAGAAAGAGGATGGCTGGCCAAAAATTAAGAAAAACAAACAAACAAAAATTAACAAAAAAAAGGGAATTTGCTTAGGAGTTTAAAATAAACTAACTCTAAACTACACTTTTAGCTATGCCCCTAAAAATGGGCCCAAGGCAGGAGCTGCGGTCTGTAGCTGTGTGTGGCTCTCTCTCAGTTGGACAAAATGCTCCCCCAAGCCACCTCAGCCTTCTGCCTTTTATACAGCTGAGCTCACCTACTGAAGAGACAAAAATCAATTATCTTATTCCAACAGTTCACATGAATAGCAAAATTCAAATACAACACATTATTGATGATAAATGCATTAAAGCCCATTAAAAATATGTTTTCTTTAAAAAAAAAAATTTAATAGTCAAATCCCTTGACCATCACAAAACACCCCTCCCACTCTACCACACTTGGTCTCCTCCTCCTGGAACCCCTCTACTTAACCCATTGGACCGCTCCAGCTCAGGTTTGGCAGTTCCTGGTCTATGGCAGAGGGGGAGACAAGTGCAACTGAGAGGACAGATGAAACGCAATTTCAAATCAATGTATTAATGTAGGTGGAGGAGAGAGACCTGCTCTGTGTGTGAGCATGTGCCTTACTTTAGGGCATGGGGTTTCCCCATGACAATTGTGTTTCTCCACGATCCTACAGCCTACAGAATCGGTTTCAGTATGGAGATGGTTCTTAACTGGAAGTAACTACTTTTAACAACAGAGGTGACATGTTTGTCAAAGCAGAGCTCGGATTCAAGGATTACACTCAGGTTTTTAGCATGAGGCTTCACAAAGGGAATGAGGTGGTCAAGCTTACTTGACAAAACTTACGTTTTGTTACTGTTTAACTGAAGGAAGTTGTTTGCCATCCATTCCTTGATGTCCTTGAAACAGTCCATGTGAGGTTGAGGGGAGTCTGTAGATTTTAGTAGGAGGTAAAGCTGTGTATCCTCAGCATAGAAGTGGCAGGAGATGCTATGTTTTCTGATGATGTTTCATGTTCATAACAGTAGAGTAACCTGTTGGAATTGGTTGAAGTAGGCTAGGTCACCTGGACAAGGACAAGGAAGCGAGGTGTTGACGGGAGAGGGAGATGGAGTTGATCTGATGTTTCCAATTTTTTCTGTGAAAAACTTTTCACAAGAGTTTGCAGAGGCATTAATGTGGGAGGTGCAGGGAGAGAGGATAGAAAGGATAGATAGGGTCTGTGAGAATGTTTACCAATGATCTCGGTGAAATATTTAGCCCTAGCTTTCTTGGCTGCTGTTTGAAAATTGGAAAGACAGTTTTTAAATATTTCCAGTGACACTCTGTCCAGCTTTATGACAGGCCTGCCTGAGGGAGCAGGCTGAATCATCCAGCCACTGATAGGTTTTAGGTCTGAGATGTTGATATTTGAGGGGGGCTATGGAGTCTAGGATAGCTGAGCAGGAGGAGTGAAGGAGGGAGATTTATTTATCTGGACTCAGAGTAGGCTCTGCAGTAGAAGACATGGAGGTTGTGATGGCCTTTCTTTGATATGCTTCAGCAAAGTGAAGTGCAGTAAGAGAATTTATATGGCGAGAGTAGTAGCCAGATGTTTTGGTACTAAGCCGAGAACCAGATAGGGTGGTAATAAAACCAAGTCGTTTAAGCATGGCTTTTTAATGCTGAGTTTGTCGATATTGAGGCAGTATGACATAATAAGGTCAAGTGTAGCATGCCCTAGTACATGATGGGTTACATGCTGGAGAAGGCCAAAAGAGTCCAGGACATGTTTGAATTAGTTTGCCATAGTTTTGCTTGGGCAGCAAACATGGATATTAAAATCACCCAGGATTAACAATCTGTCTAATCTAACAATCAAATATTTAGGAAGTTCACCCCTCCCAATGCAGGTAATTCCCATGAACGATTATTGTTTATAACAGGGATGATGTGACCCTCCGGATTTTCACATAGATTGATATTAGAAGGGCTGAAGGTACTGGCAACGGTCTTGTAGGGGAGAGACCGTGGGGGTGATGCAGAGGTGGGAGGACAGTAATGTGTGTTAGTGTGCCATTCAGTAAAGTGGGCAGGGACCCCAAGTGAAGAGGGCGTTTCCGAGCGGCAAGTGTGACATGTCAACAGTCAGTCACATGGGTAAGACAGCACCATTTGCTGCATATTTGCATTCAGCATCCTCGAGCCATGTTTGTTTAAGAGGCCAGCGGTTCCAGAACAAGTTGAAGTTGTCGATGAGAGCCACGTTGTGAATTCTACAGGCGAACTGCAGCCAAGTATGAAGGCAAATAAGTCTGCTGAAACCGAGGCATCGGGGAAACACAGAGTGACTCCATTAAGGATACACACATTCCTGATTGTGGAGTCGCCGGTAATCAGTGCGGAGGCGGAAGAGTGGCCCTGGGGAAGTTGTGTGTGCGCGGGAGCTGGCTGTAGTATCGAAGCATCGGCATCCATCACTGCAGAGGGACTCCCCGCTGTCTCTGAAGGAAAAAGGCCCCCGGGACTTCTCCGGATCACAGCCTGCGGCCAGATGAGGAAGAGGAGCTTGTCAGGGGCTTGTGATCACCTGAGTGACGTCCACAGGTGGTGGAGATGCTGAGGTGAAGTCCGGTGAGAGGGAGATCGTAGCGCCCTCGGACTGGTGGGAAGGGGCCTCGTCAGGGAGAGCAGCGTAGCGGTTCCATAGTTCCACACAAGGTCGGGATGTTGCTTCACCAGGATTATTACGGCGGTTACGGACTATCTCAGACCAGGATAGTGTCATCCGAAGGCTGGGCCAGTTTGGTGTCGAGTGACCGAGACTGCGGCCTGCAGTAGCTGGGAGGAGGGCGACAGCGCCACCGGGGCAGTGAGAGACGCCTGCACAAGATGTGCTTGGATTGAGCTAAAGCGACCGACATAAAGCTGTCAATAATCTTATTTTTGTCTGGGATTTTCATCTCCAATCGTCGGATGTTGTCCTGAAGAAGCCGGTAAACCAGATTGCAGTCCTCACACACAGCCTTCACTTCCGCACTCACGGCACTGTCCACCATATTGTAAAAATGATGGCAACTATGAAGTTAAGTAACAATGAATGAAGACATGAAAATGTCAACATTATGGGGCTGGACAATGCTTTTACCTTTTATCTTGCCTGTATCCAGACTAAGTCATGATTTGATAATGTGAGCTCAGCCATTTTTGCATGTGTGTATACAACAGTGTCATCAGCATATACTGTATTTGCAGGCAGTTGTATCACTTCATAGTGTTGCAGGGCTAATGTTTAAGAAAAGATGCACTGCTAAGTATTTATAAGTATCTCTACTTCAACTCAAAACAATCACCAGCACTATTCTTCAGACCCAAATTTGTTTGACAGTATATTAAGAGTACCAACTGATTAAGATAAATAAAGACTGGCATCATGGCCATAGCTGGTTTTCCATTTGAAATAGGCACTACATTAAAAATGTTAAAAAAAAAAAAAAAAAAATCACATGCGAGATCTGGCAAATCAATATTTTGTTTCATGCATGAAATCTGTGACGGTTTACAAAATATCTCAAATATTTGAAATGACATCTAAGGTCTGATTTTGTTTGTGGCGCTCCTGTATAATACAGGGTCCCTGTGGTGTTTTAGAGGTCTGGCAGTTTACGGAGCTGTTGGATCCTTATTTATCACTCACATTCCACTGCTCAGCAGGTGGCAGCCAAGATGCGCAGCAGAGCACCAGCACAGGCAGGAAAGAAGAAGTAGGCTGCGCAGTAGTAACCAGGGATGTAAACAATGCTGGACTCATAAAACATTTGTTACTGTAAATGAGCAAACACTCAACACATGACTTTTAAACATAACTTTTGTTGTCAGGGCAACTTTAAACATCAATCACTGGACATGGTGCTTTACACGTGAACAGTGTCGGGAAAGTTACTTCTGAAATGTAATAGGTTACTGATTACTAATTACACTGTTAAAATGTAGTTAGTAATGTAACTTTAAATTACTTCATCAAAGTAATGTAACTTATTTCATTTGATTGGTGTTTAGGACCGTTAATTTTGTCTGCTGGTGCCCTGTAGAAATTTCACAAACTAATGACTTGACCGAGTTCATATTTAATGAAAACACAATGTTGAATTAAGTTAGTGAGTGTTATTAGATCTCGCACCTATCCAATAAGGTGTTCCTGCTTGGCCAAAAGATGCAAAGCAACAGAATGAATGGCATATTCTGCATATCAGCTTTTTACAGAAAAGAATACATTGATGTAATCACCAACATTTTGATAACTGTAGTTTAATCACAATTTTTTTTCTCAATAACTGCAACAGATTACAGTTACATTTCGTTCTGTAATTCAATTGTGTAATCCCCTTACATGTGACTAGTTCCTCGGCAACACTGCTCGTGAAACATGATTTCAGTCTTATCAGGGTCAGCCCCTCCTCTCTGCTTCTCACCATTTCAATGCAAATTATTGTCAGCAGCTTTGATAATAGCTCTTAAGAGGAAACTCCTACTTAGCAACTTTTGGTGCTATTTAAGAGGACTCCTTCTGCTAAGATAACGTCTTTTACTAACAGGCCACAGGACACGAATTTTTGCACATGTGGTGTTTGAGGGACAAATTACTCCAGGTTCACAGTCTGTCTCAGTTCATCTTTTGATGTTGAGCCATGACAAGCACATACTCACAAATGAGGCAGGTCACAAGATTTCCCAGAAGTGGGTGTCATAAGACGATGATCACTTCTCCTCTCTTACTCATGGCCGTGCCAAGAAAAACCAAGATGACCGAGTTCCAAAGGGGTAAAAGTATAAGGAGAAGGGAAGAAATACAACCGGAACATTTCAGCATAGAGAGAAAAACAAACAAACAAACAAACAAAACGGACTTGATTGAACTTTTGGACTATTTCCATAATACAGTTTTATTGAAGAAGGGAAGTATGATACATACATATTTAACATGACATCAACATTAAAAAAATATCTGCTTGTTTTGGGACATTCATGGTTGCTGTGACAAACACATAAACAGAAAATTCTCACAATATGCTTCTGTTCAGAATAGAATAAACTAAAATGGAAACAAAAACATTGTACAAAATAATATCTCATGAGACACACCATGATACAGATGATGGAAACTCCATATGATGTAATTCAGTAAAAGATAATTGAAAATACCTCAACCAAGAAAACATGCTGCTTTACCGTACTTTACCTTACTGCACAGAGTTATTCTGTGAGGGAAATAAAAACTGTCAAAAAGTACTGAGTAATCGGAGTGTTCAGTAGTATGAGGTGACTTATACTCAGTTGCTCTGCAGACCAACTCAGGTCTTTATTATTGGTAATAACACTCTTCACTCTGTTTTCAGCGTGTGTGTATCATAGTTTATTTCTGAGAATGAAAACCCTGCCTCAAACACATGCTGTTAAAGGGGGTCTCCACTGATTTGACACATCAGTCATTTTTATCAGTCAAGGCCAATAACAGAGTGTCCTCTCAAAGCAAAAGTAAAGCTACTGACAGGAAATGCAGGGACAGAAATGGGGATGTTGTGGTTAAATGGTAGGCTTATACATCACAGCTACTCGACTACCACACACCCTTCTAAATGAGCTTAGTTGAGTACAACGTGATGATATCATAGTGATGTTTTCAAGGTGTCTCAGCATGGGCTTTGAGGTGTTACGTGACAGGAAGCCTGGATTACAAAATGGGCTTTTAAAGACATGGGTCAGGGAGGGGACTGCATTATGAAAAATGTAAGATCTGGTGTTTATGGACCTTGACCCACTTGGCTCTAAATGTCAGGATATCTATCAATATCTTCATTAAATGTGACAAACACAAGTAGAGTAACTAACCTAAAGTACAGCAATGACTGCAAAGGTTTAGCTGACAGCTTGGTTACGCACTTCCCCTTTCAGGTGGTGGTTTTCTGTAGGTTGAGGTTAAGTGCAAACCTGCTGCAGCAGATGCTTTGAAATTTGCAATACTAACATTGCCAGATGCATCAGGGACTTTTTGCTCTGCAACAGCTTTGGTACACACAAAACTGAAGTATATGTGAGAGTGGTCATTATGTGTAAATAAAAAAATATTTGTTTCATTTTCAGCATGCCATTTCCCCTTAATTGAATGCAAGGTAAATAGTCAGTATCTAAATTGATTAGACTCTGTCTTGTTTTTTTTGTTGCAGATCCAATCTGTTTCCTCTTTTATTCAACAAAGACTGTCAAGTATTCTAAACCATATTTACAGTACAATTCCATTATACATTCATATGTATTCCACTGAACTTATAAAGTTATATAAAAATATGTAAATGTACATACTTACTGTGCTTACATTCTATTTACAACATCATAAGACCATAAGATCAGACTTGTGTCCCTCAAACTGATACATAGTCATATTTACTTTCCTGTATTGTTAAAGATCCACCACTGACTAATTCCTACTTCTTTAACCCAGGTGTCGGCAACCTTTACTTTCTAAAGAACAATCTTGGCCAGAAAAAAAAAAAAGGAAAACAAATCTGTCCATGCACTATTATATTGTTTTCTTCCAAGACTTCGTTAGCTATAGGAAATGAAAGAGGTGCCAGACTGTGACGTAGCCTATAATGCACATTTTAGTTGATGAAGAGTTTTTTTAATTTGGTGTATTGGCTACATGTTTAGACCTATAATAATGACTGCAAAGTGTACTCATTTCCATATACCATATTTCCTTCTATATATAATAGCCCACAAAACGTGAATATTAGTCAGACTTCTTTTGACTTCACAAGCAATGCTGTCATTGTGAAGATGATGAAGATAGAAGTAACAGGAAAACGCATATCACACCGCACTTATCACAGCACTGTTTCTCTCATCCAGGCTGGTGGTTTGTGAGTAGACTGACCCGAGTATCCTGTCCTGAGGTAAGCAGGCCTTGATCACCTGACACAGTCTGCAGGGAGTCCTGTTTATCAACCTCAGCAGGTGCCTCCTGAACTTCTCCCCAACAAACACATACAGGATAGGGTTAAGGCAGCTGTGAGAGTAGGCAATAGCCTCTGTCACTTGTAAAGTCAATCTGATGACTTTGCTGCTTTCACATTCTGCATAGATTTGCAGTAGTTCCAGTGCTTTGAAGAACGATGCAACATTGTAGGGGACCCAGCAGCAGAAGAAGACAGCTACCACTATTAAAACTAAACGGATGGCCTGTTTCTTGGATGACTGGCTGTACAGCAGTCTCCAGACAATCTGTGAGTAGCAGAAACCCATGATGAAAACAGGGACAAATAGACCCAAAATGTTCATTTTAAAAAGGCTAAAGACCGCCCAGAAGTGGGGGTTGTAAGAACTGTTATCTTTCAAATCAATTTTGGGAGATGCAGGGAAGCAGAACTGAGATGCATTACTACTAGTCTGCTGTTTGAGAAAGATCAGGTCAGGGAAAGAAGCCAAAAATCCAGCCACCCATGTAACAGCAGCTGCAATCAGTCCAAAGGACCGTGTCCGTGCTCTCATAGCGTAAACAGCGTGAACTATAGCCAAGTACCGGTCAATGCTCATTAGACTGATGAAAAATATCCCACAATAAAAAACAATATGATAAATGCCTAGGACCACCTTGCACATAGCATCCCCAAACTGCCACTGGTCCCAGGCTTGGTGGGCTAGGAAGGGAAGGGAACACACCAAGAGAAGGTCAGCGATGGCTAAGTTTAGGAGGCACACGTCAGTCATACTGCGGAGTCGCACCCCACAGGCAATGACCCAGATGACCAGAGAGTTTCCAAGAAGGCCCAGGAGGAAGAAGATGGTGTAGAGGGCTGGAAGAAATCTGGCCCCATGACGCTCATACACACACATCCCGAAGTCATCAAGAAGTTCGTAATCATAGTACTCAGTGGAAAGTGATATAGAAGACCTAGGTATAAAAATCAAAACCAACAAAGAAAAAAGATACATGTATTATTCACTATTTCAGATCATTTTTATTGGATCTTCATAAATCTTGCTAAACATATATGACGAAATCTATACTTCTGTGCACTGTAGTATGCAAAGCTGATAAGGTCATTATTCATTGTTCAATGTTTCTAAACACCATTGCAAATGGGGCGATCTCTGATCAGTGTTTGTGAACGCTGCACAATGCACTGGAGGATGTGAACGGTGTCCTGTACGACATCTACGATGCCTGTCTGTTTTATGCCAGTGGAATATAAAACAAAGTTGTTGTTTTTTTTGACACAGCTTCATTAATGAACACTCCTGTTATGACATAATATAGGAGCTGCTTGAAAAGGGCAGCTGACTAACATCCAGCTCCAGAGTGAATATGTGTTGGAAAAGCTGTAATGACTGCACTTCTGACAGTCTTACTGAGATATTACTTGCAACAACTAGGATGGATATATGCTGAAGGTAAGCAATACATATTCAGGTGCATAGAAAAATATACTAGCTGAGGGAGTTTTAAAGCAATACAGTTATATTCTTATAATGGCCATCCATGTATGTGTAGCTATACCTGTGTCAAATACTGTCAATGTTGAAACCTTTGTGATCAGTAAATGAAGACATTTACTGATGGGATGCAAAATGTACTTCTTGAACATAACTGAAAATCCTTGTGGTCTTTAATTCCACATGTGAGGTACTGGACCTAAGCAGTAGGTCTTACTGTGCAGAAACGAAGTACATTTACTCGAGTACTTAAGTATATTTTTTTCAAGCATCTGTTCTTTACATGAGTATTTTTTTTTTTTTTTTTTTTTAGAGAAATATACGTTTGACTCCACTATATTTCTATGAAGTGCTCATTACTTTGAAGTCGAGCTTTTAGTCAGTGTGATAGACAATCGCGGTCAACTCCAACACTGTCAGTTATGTTGTGCTGCTGCATGTTTGAACAGCTCAGTTTGAACAGCTCAGTTTGGACTTGTCAGTGTCCTAGGTTAGATAAAGATGCGGCTGAAGATTCTTCACCAGAGCATCATGGTCTTATCTTAAGTACATATTTGACATTTTCAAATAAAGAAATCTTCCTTTTGTTTTATATGTTTGCTGTTTTTACCACGACCAAATTTCACCACTGCCTAAAAAAATTCACCATCCAAAAAAGCATGTTGAGATTTGTTTAATTCCAGATAAACTTTAAACAGACAGCTTGTAGTTGCTGCAGTTTTATGCTGTGTTTGGTTCAATGACTTATGTCCATATCAATGTATCATATTCTACCAGCTCTTTATTCTACAGGTTCTATAGTCAGTCGGTAGGTTGTTTCAGAGTCATTAGGTTCTGTAAATGTGCCACAATACAACAATGTGGTGACAAAAGAATTACTTTTGAATACTTAAGTATTTTTAAAATCAAGTACTCCAGTACAGCCGTGGCCAAAAGTTTTGAGAATGACACAAGTATTGGTTGTCACAAAGTTTGCTGCTTCAGTGTTTTTAGATGTTTTTGTCAGATGTTACTATGGTATACTGAAGTATAATTACAAGCATTTCATAAGTGTCAAAGGCTTTTATTGACAAATACACTAAGTTTATGGAAAGAGTCAATATTTGCAGTGTTTTTCAAGACCTCTGCAATTCGCCCTGGCATGCTGTCAATCAACTTCTGGGCCACATCCTGACTGATGGCAGCCCATTCATGCATAATCAATGCTTGGAGTTTGTCAGAATTTGTGGGTTGGATCCTGGTTGGATAGTTGGGAGAAGTTGCTCTCAGAGGATGTTTTGGTACCATTCTTTAATCATGGCTGTGTTCTTAGGCAGAATTGTGAGTGAGCCCACTCCCTTGGCTGAGAAGCAACCCCACACATGGATGGTCTCAGGATGCTTTACCGTTGGCATGACACAGGACTGATGGTAGCGCTCACCTTTTCTTCTCCGGACACGCTTTTTTCCAGATGCCCCAAACAATCGGAAAGGGGATTCATCAGAGAAAATGATTTTACTCCAGTCCTCAGCAGTCCAATTCCTGTACCTTTTGCAGAATATCAGTCTGTCCCTGATGTTTTTCCTGGAGAGAAGTGGCTTCTTTGCTGCCCTTCTTGACACCAGGCCATCCTCCAAAAGTCTTTGCCTCACTGTGCATGCAGATGCACTCGCACCTGCCTGCTGCCATTCCTGAGCAAGCTCTGCACTGGTGGTGCCCCGATCCTGCAGCTGAATCAACTTTAGGTGACGGTCCTGGTGCTTGCTGGACTTTCTTGAGCGCCCTGAAGCCTTCTTTACAACAATTGAACTGCTCTCCTTGAAGTTCTTGATGATCCGATAAATGGTTGATTTAGGTGCAATCTTACTAGCAGCAATACCTTTGCCTGTAAAGCCCTTTTTGTGTAAAGCAATGATGACTGCATGTGTTTCCTTGCAGGTAACCATGGTTAACAGAGGAAGAACAATGATTTCAAGCACCACCCTCCTTTTAAAGCTTCCAGTCTGTTATTCTAACTCAATCAGCATGACAGAGTGATCTCCAGCCTTGTCCTCATCAACACTCTCACCTGTGTTAACGAGAGAATCACTGACATGATGTCAGCTGGTCCTTTTGTGGCAGGGCTGAAATGTAGTGGAAATGTTTTTTTGGGATTAAGTTCATTTTCATGGCAAAGAGGGACTTTGTAATTAATTTCAATTCATCTCATCACTCTTCATAACATTCTGGAGTATATGCAAATTGCCATCATAAAAACTGAGGCAGCAGACTTTGTGAAAATTAATATTTGTGTCATTCTCAAAACTTTTGGCCACGGCTGTACTTTAACTTGACTAAAAATTCAACTGAACAACTTTCACTTGTATTTGAGTAATATTTGACCAGGAGGATCCATACTTTGACTCAAGTAACAGAGCTGTGTACTTTGTCCACCTCTTTTACATGTGTATGGTGGCCCTGAGAGCTTAATGCATGATATAGTAGTGCTGGGTAGAAAAATTAAAACCGACAAAGAAAAAATTATTATTTGGAATTCCCCGGTATTGAGTATTTCAGATTTTTATTGGATCTTCTCTAGTCTTACTAAACAGAGCTTAAGCCCTGAGAGATTAATGCATTGCAATTTAAGAAAACTCATTCAAATGCAGGTCACTGTAACTTTTTGATACATGAAAAAATAAGGTCTGTCAATAACATTAACAATAGGAGTTTAAATTTCCAGTTAAATGACAAAAACTACAGCGTTTACTGCAATAAATATGAATTGTGAAGAGAGCACTGTAGCAAGAGCTGCTGTTTGAAAGAGCCATTCTGAAGAATATGTTTACTGGCACAAAGGATCATGGGATGTGGGAGGAGTAGGAGGAGTGTCCATTAATAAATTGAGAAAAAATATTGCAACTTTATTTCTTTATATTTCACCGGTGTAAACAGACACAAACTGACACTGTAGTTGCATTGTGAAGTCACCGTACAGCATGGCAATCGCATGCATACCAATCAGAGGTCATACTAAGCAGGATCATGGAGCGGTGTGCACAACGGCACTTATAAACATTGATCGGCAGGGAAAGTGAGACTTGGCTTTCCACACTGCAGCTGTGGGAAGCTCCATTAAACCTTCAAAATAAAACCTTTTCACCATGATAAGCTGCACTGTTAAACAAATGTAACAGCAAGATTAAGGCAGTTGTCATCTTGCAGCCCAATTCAGGAGAACATGTCAGCAAAATAGATGTGTTATGGCAAAAAACACTGAAATACTGGACTGAAAAGCTCAGAGATTTACAAAGAGACAGAAGAGTGGAATCTTAGCAACATAATGAACACATTAGTGGAAGTATGTGTGTCAACTGTAGTTTTAATCTTACCCTGATTCAGTTGTAGGTGGATTCTCACTGCTGCTCAAATCAGTGACAGTAGAGACAGTTGCGGCCATGATCAGCTGTCAGGAAATATAAAAAAATGTGATCATATGACCTATTTTATGGAAAGGGAAACAGCTGTCCACACCCTAGTCCAGTTTTTTTCCCTGCAACTTTGATGCAGCTTCAAGTGCTTAAAGTTTCTTATGAGGTTTTTTAGGTTTTTATTAAAATGGTGGAGACAAATTCATATTGAAGTGTTGTAGTACAGTATGTATAAGTTTAGTATAATCACACACCAGATTCAGAAGTAGTCAGAGTCAGAAGTAGCAACAGTTTTTCATCAAGGCCAGAGGCTCAACATTGTTAATAAGCAATATGCCTCTCTGTGATGTTGCCATCACCTCAATTTATAGCAATTTTAATGACTGCAGAGGCCTGGTTAGCCTGTACATAAAGTTTTGCAGTTGCATAGACAATGTTTGTGTGCATGCAGTTTTGTGGACACATTACCAAGTAGCTGAAGCTGGTTTAGTTTGGCCAGCATTTACCAAACCACAATGACGTTTCAGTGCACACACAGCATGAGTACCGGTGCAGCACATGAAGGAGTTTATGGTGTACTTGGTCTCTAAAGAGTAAAAACATTCTGCACAGTGGCCACAGCGGAAGAAACCTGCAGGTTGCTTATAAGGACATTATGTCTTCACCCGTGTTTGTTTATTTGTCAGCAGGATTACACATAAAGCACTGAATTGATTTGCACTGAACTTGGTGGAAGTAGGAACCCATTCAATTTTGGGTAGATCCTGATCACTTACTATGAATCAATTTTTTTTTCTCTGAAAGCTGGTGTATTTTTATTTTATATTTCATTGGTTTTGGCTGAGGTCTTGGCTTTCTGAGCGTCTGTTTCAGACTGAAACAGTCTGTCTCTTCAAATTTGAACACGTTTAAAAGTTATCAGATGATGTACTAAGCTGATACTGTTCAGTGTTGAAGAGTTTTAAACTGTGTTCAGTAGATGACTCTGGATAAAGGGTTCACTGATGATGGATGATGATGATGATATGATGTTGGGTCATCCGACTGCTTTAAGCAATTTTTTTATTTTTAGCTATAGTCTGGAGCTCTACAACCAATTTTTCATTGGTTGTAGAACTGACTAATGACCACGATATCGTGAATATTTTCAAGAATCTTTTTCTATAAACCAGTTTTTGACAAAAGAAATGCATTATGCAATGGGATGAGACTTTTTCCCCATAGACCCATAGTAAGACAGTAAGATGGAGCAAAGGACTTACCTATGAGTAATATAATCCAAATTCTTAAAACTATCCAGATACTGGAAACTTAACAGAGGTCTTTTCCTTCTTTCTTAACAAGCTCCTTTAAAAACATATAATAATTATTACAAGTAATCACCAGTGTCTTTAAAAATCATCAGTAGGATAGCAGACAGTAGGATAGCGGACTGTACAATACAATTCAATGATAAGAAGTCAGTGGACTGTCAGTGTAGAACACTCTGTCCCAGTCCACTGACTTCTTATCATTGAATTGTATTGTGTATTAACCTCATAACCACAACTGAGCCTCTTTTAGTATTTGATAATGACTGATTATGACTTCACAGGTACAATGACTCAGAGCTAGAGCTAAGTTAGCGTGTTATAACATTTGTACACCTAATCATTGCTGACCATTCTGTTTGCATTAGCAGTAGTTGAAGTAGCAGTAGTTAAAATGCTAATGTGTTTGTATTGTTACAAGCTGCCACTTATGCAATGTGCAGCAGTGTAATGTATATACAATATACACACATATATGTCACGCTTCTTGATTGTGCATATGGAAGTGGGAAAAAAGGAAAAAAAAAAAACTTTACCTGCAAGCACTGGCTAGTAGATAGCTGATTTTTGTGGATTCTGGATGACAAGATGCTGAGGTGGTCGGCCAGATCAAAGCAATCAAACGATCAGCTGTACATCTAGTTTGATTATGAACGATACAGGTGAAGTGAGAAATGGTTTGCTTACCACGAACAATAAAATGTGCGAGGTGTGCAAACCTTTTCAAAAGTAGTCCCATCCCCTAACCAAAATAATCTGGGTGGGCTTGCGGCTTTGCATTTGACAGAAATATGGTTTCATACTTCCTGACAATTCGAGAAGTGATCACATGAGGGCCCACGGTGTCTGCGGGTACAATGAACCACAAGTCCCTACATGTAAGTTTTTGAATATGCAAGGTAACTTAGACAACATTTGCAGGCACAACTGGAAGCTTGCAGGGCTCTTTGTGCAGTTTGTGCTTACATTGCATGGAAGAAGTGATACTGCTGACATAGCCATCAATGCAGTCTAAACTGACATTTGTCTCAGAACAGCAACAGTGTATAGAAAGCAAATTACTTTCTCTGTGCAGGGAAAGGTTCTGACTAATATCTGAAGGGCAAACTCAGATATGACTATTGCATTTAACAGATCTTAACATTTTCATGCATCATTTTGATTCAGTCGGGGAGCCGAATTGAGGGCCCAGATGAACAATCACTGGCGCGTTAGTCAGTAAGTTGTTGTTATATGACACAGGGATTCTGCTCTGTATGGTTCTTGTCAAATAATTACCCAGAATGACTGCCTGAAATGTTTTAGTCCCCTTAAGGTCATGGGTGCCAATGCACTGCTATGTGAAGAGGCTTAGCTTGTGACATTTTGCTTCAATGAGACACACACTAACTTGAGCACACGCACACCAGAGCAATGCTTTAAACGCACAGATCAAAGGACTGAAAGTTTTTCTTCTGCTATAAACAAAATAAGGAAAGAACAGTCTAAGTTTTATTTTCTTTATTTATCTCTACAAAAACAATATAGTTTTACAAGTCACAAATATACTGAGTATTACATGATTTGAACATATGATTCATCAAATTCTATACACATTCACATTACTGCGAATAGCCCGGGAACCATTTTACATTTCTTAGAGGCAACACCTATCCGCATGACACACACTGCTGTCTTTGCAGTCTCTGTATTTCAGTGAAAAAAAAAACATTGCAAGCACACATTCACCAACCACCAGCACACAGAAACCAGGTGTTACAATTTTTCAGTAATCTGATCTTACAGGTGTATTGGAAGTCTCTTTCTCTGTGGTGTCTCTGTGGCTGAAAGGCCCTCTGCTCTGGTAACTCCAGCAGAGGTATCTAGCCAGCGCTTTGCCCAGTGACTTCCTAAACTTCTCCCCTACAAATGCATAGATGACTGGATTTACACAGCAGTGAGACAGTGCGATGATCTCAGCAAAGCTCATGGCAGAGTTGATGGTTTTTAAAGCCACGCAGGTGTCCAGGAATTGAAACAGCTGCAGTGTCTGAAGGAAAACAGTGACATTGTAGGGGACCCAGCACACCACAAACACACACACTATGGTAAATATCAGCTTTACAGCTTTGTCCCTTTTGGAGTTCCTGGCCTTGGACAGCACAATAAGGATTTTCACATAGCAGAAAACCATGATGGGGAGGCACACAAAAAGGCCGACTGTGTTCTCACTGAAGTTTTGCCGCAACTTCCAAAACAGCTGCCTGTCCTCTGGGTACAGCGGTTGGCACTTCAAGTTGTCATCATCCATCTCCAAGGAGACAAAAATCACCTGGGGGATTGCCATGATGACAGCTAAAACCCAGATTGTGACGCTAGCTATGATCCCATAGCGAAGTGTCCTGGCTCGCATGGCTGATACAGCATGGACGATGGCCATGTAGCGGTCCACACTCATTAAGGTCACGAACAAAGTCCCGCTGTAGAAACCCAACTGTTCGGAGAAGCAGAGGAGGAAGCAAAGTCAGAGCAGGATGTAACTTAAAGCGACATTTGTCAAGCTTTCCTGGCCTCAGTGATGTTCTTCATGCAGCTGACGTAAAACAGCAGCTGTTTTACACAATGTCTGAGGACAACTGCCATATCATAGAAAACATGTAGTGTTACATACAGTAGAAATACTGTATACTGTACAGCCTTGTTATACTGTATTTGCAGTAACATTTATTCAAATTTGAACCTTGCAGTAAATACATATTATTGGCAGTAATCCCTCACAAAGAGGAAAGGAGAATTACTCGCACAACCTTGTATTCATGTTTTGTGAACTCACTGACTTTTCATAGCTTAACAAAAATACCACATATAAAACATCATAGTGTAAATGTAAAGGAAGTGTTTTTAATGGATAATTAGTAATCTGCACCTGTTTATGAATTCTGCTTTTCTAAATAATAAGTACCCAAAGTCTGTTCACCTGATAGACTCCTGTCATCAGTTTGCATGATACAAGGTTCTGGTGATTGTAGGCCCAGAGTGGCAGAGATGCAGCCAGTAGAAGGTCAGACACGGCCAGGTTGAGTAGGCATACATCCGTCATACTTCTCAGCTTTATGTATCGGAGGAGAACCCAGAGAACTGTGATGTTGCCTGTGAAATAAATTATTCATTATTATTTGGGGTTTTTTATTATTTCTAGTGACAAATCGAAAAACAGAACTGTTGCACATATCTAACTGTTGCATGAATCACTTTCAGCTCAATGCCTGAAATGCAAATGTGCAATCAAATCTGTGAAGACAGTGATACATATTTCCTTTTTTTCTTTAAGATTCAGTCATTTTTTAACATACCTAGCAGCCCTAGACCAAACAGCATGCAGTAAAGAACCTGCAAGACCATGGATCCATCATGCAGCTCTGGAATTGGATCCTGCTCACAGGTGGTATAATTATCATAGTCATCCGTCACGTAGTCGGACATGTTCATACTGCTGTGAGAGAGGGAACAGTAGGGGATTACTTTAGTTTAACACAGTAGTAAAACATATCAAGAACAACAAAATAAAGTCCAAAACCTATTTCTATTGCGGGCTTTGATGTAAAGAGGGAAAAATTAGAGTCAAGTGACACAATACCATCAACTAAACTTTGAATAACTAAACAACTAAACATAACTAAACAATTAAATAAATACATGAATTATCCTGATTAAAATCACTAGAAGTCAAACATAAAAAAAAAAATTATATAAATTACACACAAGTTATAATGACAATGATATTACATTTATGTTTTCCATGTGCTACAATTTGACCTTCTTTTCAAAATTGGGGTAAAGCTTTTTTGTTAATTGTGCAAAAGTGACTTATTCCAGTGCCTGATAAAGTCCAAGCTAAATGAAGACATTCCCAAATAAAACCATATGAAGACAAGCACTGTCTTGTCTGGTGGGCAGGTTGGGAGTTCCCCCAATACTACAAATGTGGTCTATTAGATGATCTGATATAAATGTTGTATAAGTCTGCTCTTCTAAAGTAACCACCCAAACTTCACAAATCATTAAATCAGCATCCATCAATAAATTAAGAGTGACAACAACACATAACAAAAGAATCCTCCATCGGTCTCAAACTCCCTTTATTGGTTAATTTAGCTTCTCTTGTCAAAAATCTTTCCAGTCGCATTACTAGATATAAAGAGCCACCTTGTATTCGAGCAAATTCTTGATCTTAATTGAATTTCTCAATTAAGATCAAGTGTAATATCTTCTTAACATGAAGTCAAAGTGGCTTATATTCAAATACAAAGATACATTTACTACTTACCTAATTTATCAACAGTGACATCCTTTGAATCCTGATTCAATTTTCTTATGGTCATGCACTGGATCTTCCCTTTATTTTTTAAGTGTTTGTAAAAAACTTCCATTCATAAATCTTCAAAATACAAAAACAGAGATAATATGTTTCTCCTCCTTGATATGATTGATACAATGACTGAACTCCTTATGCTACGCTCTAAACCCTCAAATAATAGGAAATAACTTGAAAAACCTTCATGTGTAAATGTGGGGGAATTCAGAGATATAACTAAACTTTCCTGCCCTTTAAACTAAACTTTTATGATGATACAATCATCATTTAGTGAGTCATGTTAGAGAGGCTACTGTAACAAACTGCTGCTATTACAAACCTAAAAACTATTTTCTGACAACCATCAGCCGATGCTTAGAGAAAATGCTCGTCTGTCTATGAATATCACAACCTTCTTCCTATTCTGACCATAATCATATAAACCTGCCCTCTTTTAAACCACATCTCCAACCTTTACTCTCTGACTAGCAACATGCAGAACCACCCATGCCGACCCTCACTTCCGGTGGCTGACATTGTTTATACACACACACACACACACACACACACACACACGCACGCACGCACGCACACTGTGTTTACAAGTGTAGGAGGTGAGACAGATTAAGAAAGCCTGGTAAACAGCAACTAAAAATTTAAAAACTGAAGTTTTAATGTGCTTACCACATACTCAAGCCAAAAATCACTGCTCCTGAATTTGTGTGTCCTTGTGTTGCTCTTCAAGCTCATGAGTCATCCTGTCAAGTTGCATTGCTCGCTTTTTGTGTCAAGATTTCTGGTAAAGTGAACTCTGGGTTTTGTTGTTTCCTCTGCATCGTGTTAGACCTGTGCAGAGGTGTCAGCGTGGTTTTCTGAGAATTGTCCCTTTATGAGTTAACTCGTGGCAAGAAAAGAATACTGGGGAAATGCAGTATATTCTAATTAGGCACTTTTCTCTTTTTCTGTTCTTTCCTCAGTCTAGGCACACAGCTGAAGTGACAGCATTCAGCTCAGTAGAAAGCAGAAGCAAAAGACTTTTTAAATCTATATATTTTAAATCTATATACTTGAATATGCTCATATTTAATGGAATCAATACAGTAGCCTCCCCTAAACTAACTGAAAAACCTGCCTGTGTCATAGTACTAATACAGCACTACTAAATGATTTGTGACTGTCTTAAATTACCTTTTAATTTTTACTACATCTCTTTTAATTACCATGTATTTCATCAGCTAAATGTTAGAGGAACAATTTGTTTTATTAGATGTAACGAAGTAACCTGTCAACAATGTCATGAGGAGACAGTGACAGTGAGAAAAAGCTGAATTTGTCAACAATCCTGTTCACAAAAAGAACAATGCACAGCATGCCAACTACTCTCCTACAAGAAAGCTATAATGTGCGGTCATAAAGTTTCTGTGGAGCTGTAAAAACTGCGGGACATTCATATTGATTTCAAACCTGTTTGAAGTTACACAGAGAAGTTGAAGAGCCCAGTACATGACTTTGATTTTAAATGAGTGCAAGATGTGTTGTATCGTGGATTCAGTGTCCCACAAAAACCACCATACAAAAGTTGTTTGGTAAATTAAGGGATGAGAAGAGATGAGAGGAGGTAAAACTTTAATAATCTCATTTTGCCAAACCAAACCACTCCGGAAGACTTTAACTAAAAACATCAGTAGCTGAGCATTAAGCATTGTTTTGTGCAAATAGCAGTAAAATGAACTGAGACAAAAAGAGAATGTATCCAGCATTAAAACACTTGAAAAATACATATATGCAACATACTGTACAGTCATAGAAATGTGAGGCATAAAACAATATTGGAAAAAAAACATATGGAAAATTACAGGTTTGATGAACCAAAATTTGTTCCACAACAACAGATTTGAATCCATGACAAATTTTTGAATGTGCAATAGATGCCATACATAACTGTTGGTTTCACTGCTGTAGCTTTGAGTCATCATCAAACGATGATGAAAACGTTTTCCACAATGAAAGTGAAAAATAAAAAACAATCATGTTTTTAAAAAGTATTTTAATCTTATCCTCGCCATATGTTTTTTCACCAACTTGCATACTCAGTAACAAATGTGTGACAGAGGAAAGAACAGAAATGTTCCAATCACATCAGGCACACACAAACTTTTGGTTACAAACAAGACATCCATAGTTTCTGTCAAGAGGTACAACAGTTTCCTCCAATCAGCAGGATGGGATGTATACTCCAGTGACGTGCGGTGAGGTTCATGGCTGGTGAGGCACTGACTTCATCACTAGCGCCCTCTACCATGAGGCAGGAGAACTGCGTGCCTCACCCAGTGCGTCTTCGCAGCCGTTTTATGATTGCTCAGCACAAGAAACACGTTACACACATACAGTTGTTGATAAAATACACTGTACATTATATACCTCAGCTAACTAAACTATGGAAATTTATAATATAATTCATATAGCAAAAGTGTTTGAACATTTTAATAGCGACATACAGAGAGATAGCAATACGGTCTCACTGCACAGCAGGCCAGCAGTTAGCCGAGTCATTGCGCAATCCATGGTGAGGCTCAGCTGGCTGCTGCCTCACCGCAAGTCTCTTCTCAGTATTTGAACGGTAAATGTCAAAATTCAGCGATTTTGAATAAAAATAATCTAAAACTGGTGAAGTTAAATGGAAAATAACTTTATAGTATAATCACTGTATACATATAACAATTTAATTATTTTTTTTTCTTTTTACTTTTTTTTTTTTTTCCATGATGGCAGGTGAGGCAGTGCCTCACCTGCCTCCCCTGACTGCACGTCACTGGTATACTCACACCTGAGTACACATCTGACATCTTATGGTCAAAATGAAACATTACAGTGCAAATAAACAAATGCAAAAGTGCGAATGAAGTCAAAAAGGCCTAAAAAAAATCCTATGTACAGGTACATGCAGCTTTTTAAGATCAGACATTGCTGATGAATAACATGGCCATGGATGGATGGATAACATGGTCTGCATCACTAACAAGGCAAAACATTCATGATGTCCTTAAGACATATCAGGCCTCCATCTGCCCTCCACCTCTTACATGATAACAGTGGAGGTGACAGAGGACTTGGATGTGACTGAGCTTCTCCTGAACAAGGTTTCTGACAAATCACTGCAGGGGCGAAGGTGAATCCCAGGCAGCCAATTGCTCAGCATGTGCACGGCCCGTTTCATGAACTTCTGCCCAACAAAGGCGTATACGATGGGGTTCAGGCAGCAGTGAGTGTAAGCAAATGTCTCGGTCACTGTTATTGTCAGCTTTAGATCTCTGTGGAATTTGCAACCATTTGGCATTTTGCCGTGAGACTGCAGAAACTTCAAGAAAATGGAAATGTTATATGGGGCCCAGAACAAGAAAAAGGTGGCCACTATACAGATGATCAGCCTGACAACGCAGTGCTTCTTCTTTGCACTCCTCATGTTCACCAGAGTAAGGATGATCCTGGAGTAGCAACCCACCATCACCACCAAGGGAATCATGAGACCCAGTAGGTTTGTTGCAAAGATGTCGTAAAGCTTCCAGGCGTTGTTATTTGGGGCGTAGTTACACTCCAGCCCTTCAGGGCCATCTGTGACCTTTGTGAAGATCAGAGCAGGTAAAGAGACAAACAGGCTCAGCAGCCACACAAACATGCTCAGAGTGACTCCTGCTTGCAGAGTGCGGTACCGTGCCACCTTGTGAGTGTGCACGATGACCAAGTAGCGGTCCAGCGTCATGATAATCATGAAGAAGATGCTGCTGAAGAAGCCAGAGTGGTGGCAGCCTGAGATGAAACGGCACATGAAGTCTCCGAAAACCCACTGTCTGACCGCAGAGTAGTGGGCGTAGAAAGGCAGCGTGAGCACAAAGAGGAGGTCGGAGAGAGCCAGGTTGAAGAGGCAGATGTCTGTCAAGTTGGTCTGGTTGCGATATTTCACCAGAACGCACACCACAAGGCCATTACCTTTGGAGAGGGAAGAAACCCATTAAATCTGTCAGGTTCAAGTTACTCTTCCCCTAGCCCCCTTCCTATCTCTCTCTCTTTCTCTCTCTCTCTCTCTCTCTCTCTCTCACACACTCTCTCTCTCTTTCTCTCACACAAACTCTCTCTCTCTGTCACAAACTCTCTCTCTTTCTCACACACACACACACTCTCTCTCTCTCTCTCTCTCTCTCACACACACCCTCGCTCTCTCTCTATATCGCTCTCTCTCTCTCTCTCTCACACACACCCTCGCTCTCTCTCTATATCGCTCTCTCTCTCTCTCTCTCACACACACCCTCGCTCTCTCTCTATATCGCTCTCTCTCTCTCTCTCTCACACACACCCTCGCTCTCTCTCTATATCGCTCTCTCTCTCTCTCTCTCACACACACCCTCGCTCTCTCTCTATATCGCTCTCTCTCTCTCTCTCTCACACACACACACAGTACCTATAAAGCCAAGGACAAAAACCAGACTGTAGAGAGTGGGCAGAAACACATGGCCAAAATCCTTGAGATCCACGTCGTCACAAGGAGAGAAGTTTATGGTCTCGTCGTAATAGGCTGAGTAATCATACCCTGCAGTGGCATTTGTTCCATTACCTGCATACACAAATTTGTTTTTGTTAATGTCAACATTTACAACATGTAGGGCTAATTTCATTTAGGACAGAATATAATTCATTCCAACTGTCAGGTTGCCTCTAAACAAAATGTGAATTGAATTCAGTTTTTGCAGCTTTAAAAGACTTAAAGGCATCATCTCGTTTTCTTTGAGAGATTGTTCCAACAGAAGCTGTTGACAGTGAGGTCTGTGATGATTCATAGTAACGATTCTCTTTTTAAATGTCATGTTTTTCATTGCTGTGAGCACAAGCAAAATTTCCTTCACAGCAGTCTGGTACAAAACAGCATCCGTGTAAAGGAAGAAATCTTAAGAAATGTAAAATTGAAGTGAAACCTAAGAAATAAACCATGTCTACCCATGAATACCAAACCAAACCAACACTGTCTGCCCTGATTGTTACTTCAGTGAGTGAGAGCGAATGATCATCTGTTATTCGGGTGATCAGTTTCTCAAAGTCAATTGATACAGAGGGATATCGTGCCACCTGCTGGTCTTCACAGGTAATACATCTCCTAGGTACGACCATACAAGGCTCTAGCAGGGGCAGACAGAATAATGTACTAACACTTTATGAAAAAAAAGACTTTAAATCACCAATGCAACACTGTTGTCAATGTCATCCAACAGTAACTTATGTCAACTTGCTATAAGCCTTACAGCCCCCATTGTCCATTATATCTGTTGATTTCAACTTTCAACGGCTGTATCTATTTCATTTGTTCTGTACTTATGCTATTTTGAGCTAGATGTGTTTCACTTGACATATAAAATATAATTTAGACATATTTTTTTGCATCTTTGACATGGTGATTATGTTCCTTCAGACTGTAAGACTGTAAGACTATAGAAGATAATAGAGATGTGTCCGTAGGTTACGTGTTTGACAAATAGCCTATTGTGTAAAAAACAATTTTAAAAACATTTAAAATGTTTTCCCCAATATTTTGTATTTCTTCTTTTCCGAAGAAAAAGTAAAATAGTCTGAGGATTTAAAATATTGTTTAATAAAGATCCAAATGGAAACACAAAAGAAATAATACATTACACTACATTAAAGAATTTTGAATTTAATGGAAAATGGACATAAAACTTACAGCTATGTGTTAGCCATTAAACATCACACACTATCACACATATTTCTTTCTATAGGTCTATGTAACTTTGAGCTACAATATTCCAAAATCTGTTCAGTTGTTACAAATGTATTCACCTGACATGGTGAGATTTCAGTGATTCCTTTTCCTGCCAGGTAATCAGTGGCTGCACCCCAGGGCTTCTTTTTCTCCTTTGGATCTTTTTGGGCACGATGTCCTCAAATGCACATTGGTGAACTGAACTGACTGTAGTAAAGTCAGCAGTCCCCCAACAGTGAGTAACACAGAGATAGAAGTGCAGATGTCATTTCCTGTACGCCCTTAAGTCTGGTAGATCATTATCTTGAGCCCACTGTTCACAGTGCTTGAAAAATAGACATCCAAACTAGCACAGACTTGCAAAACAAAAACACAGACATTCTCACTTAGCTGACTAATTTTAGCTTGAACTTTCACAAATCTATGATAATTGAACAGTCCAGCTGCAGTCCAGTATAATCATCAAAATATCTGAATATCAACCAAGGAGGGGTAGCATGTTCAAAGATGTCAATTTAATGTTGACTGCAAGTATTAAAGCAAAAAACAGTGTGACAACTAAAGACCTATATTATCAAAAAGGAAATTGATGTCTGTGTGATGATATTTCAGCCTTTACGCTATAGGCCTCAGTGATGTTTTAGGCTACACATTTCAATGTGTTTACTCTTGTTTCTGCTGTTTTAAAGACATCCAAATCTGTCTTTGTCTTCTTTTTTTATTTTTTTTTTAAAATTATATTTATAGTAGCTAATGCTGCTCATCTTTTCTGACAATCCAATATCTAAATCACGTATAGCACCCAACATATGGGGGTTTCAGTAAAATCTTAAGAGTGGTCTATGACTGACCTCTTGTGGTGGAGAATGATATCTTAGTTGTGCAAAGAGGTGTTACATGGACAAAATAGCACAAAGCATGCCGGGAGAAACATGCCGGGAGAAAAGATTTGAATTCTCATCATGGAATTTCAATGAGACATTATGCATAGAAGCTGTGTTCAAATTATATACCGACAACCTATGTTTAACCCCAGCGTGCAGCTTCAGCAGTAACAAAAATGATAGTGATAATAATCATTATCATAATGAAAATAATAATACTAATTCTGATATTATTTATAATAATTAATTCTACATGCTATTGGCGGTATATCATTTGATGTTCACCTCTGGATCCTACTTGACTTTTATTTTAACTGCTGACTTTTTGTTTGTATTTATCGCTCTACATCTGTGTTGTGAGCCGACTTGTAAATTCGTGCAGTCGCTCTCCAGCTGGCGCTCAGTGAATTCCCAATGAGGATGATTGACATGAGATCTGCTGACGAAGGCGGGCTGGAGAGAGCTGTGTCAAGCTAGAAAGACGCAGTTGAAAAACACAAGAAACCGTGTAAGTATTTCCTTTCCGAATGAAACAGGTATTTCGAATTTCTTAGAAGGTGTGATAGCAGCAGTTAAGCAGCCGACCTGCATGCTGGCTGTGCACTTATGTAGCCTATAGACAAATGGAAAAAAAAGAGAAATTAATTGATTTTACAAGAAGACTGAATGCAATGTGTATCCGTTGAAGGCATATGCTTTTCGATACATCCTGGTTTGCAGCTGTCACCCAGTCAGACGTGTTCTTAATAGCTTTTATATACTGCATACGTATGGTGTAATGTCTTGCTAAAGATAGAAACAGAGGAAAAGGGGGAAACAAAAAGAAAACGCTAAATGCGATTCTGATATTGAATCCTTATTTTGAAACGCTATACCGGAAGTCTAATTTAATAATCCAACTGACTTGACAATGCTCGAGGGAAAAATCAGCCGGGGGGATACGAAGATTATAACAAGTGGATTTGACAAGTAACTCAGCCCATGAGAGTGAGCCAGTGAGACTGTTTTGACTGAAGTAAGTTTGACTTAATAATAGTGAACATGTGCTAACTCGTGTGTCGTAGTTAGCCTCAGCGGACACTTTGCAGTCTTTGTGCCTCAGGTCACACTGGACTGTCATCTCTGCGCACTGTCACTTGTTCGACTTATTATAGAAATTGCAAAGTTGTTCTTTTCTCGACAAAAACAAGCAGTTTTATTGGTTGAGACGTGTTAGAAAACTCGCCGGCAGAAAAATTCATTAAATGTTTATGTGCTAACTCGCAGGTGATAGCATAATGGATAGTATCCATCGAGTTTAAGAGCAACGGCGGATTTTAGGAGCCCAGCCTGAGCACTGCTATCATCTGAAGTTGGATATCGCAATCACTGCAATGACTGAGTCCTCAAATCTGCCTTTAGGGTAAGTCCTATGAAAAAAATTACAGTCTCATTACAGGACTTCAGCGTTTATATTCTTCCCCTGACGGTTTGTGTAACTTGAATCGAACTATAAAAATAATTTTGAATAATTTCAGCTCGGAAACAACCCAGTGTGCTTAGCTACTACTAGACTCTAATTAACTTAAATGTTACATTTGTTGTCTTTGCATTTTGTGTAGTTTACACGTGCAGTTCAGAAACAACATTTGTCAGTGGTGTGGGGTGCTTAATATTCAAGTTTTCCTTCTATGTGCTATTTTATCATAAAAGCCTTGACTGTAACATTTCTAGAAAACTAGCACATAATTATCTAGTTTTCTATTATGTCACAACAATCTGTGGCTGTGTGTAATTAAGTGGCCTGGGTGTTTTTCTTGATAACAGTAATTTCATTGGGCAATAAACTAACTGCAGAACTGTTTGGCCTACTCTGAGGTGCAGCCCCATGCCTGTCTATTCAAAATGCTTATGACCCACAGCAACACTTAAAAAGCCTGTGTAGCATATAGTCTGCACTGACAACAGGGAGTGTTCCAGCAGCCAGACCTGTGTGCTCTCCATTTATCTACAGTCTCTTTGGCGCACACTGGCAGTAAGTATAAACAGCTCTGGAGCAAAGCAGAATGCAACAGTAGTCGGTTGCTAGAGGAGAGAAAGTGACGAGACCTTTTGCTGGTGGACCAACAACAACAGCAACAACTGTGGGTGCTGTACACACTGTGCCTCTAAATGTGATTTGTGTTGCTGGACTTAATAGTATCCTTGGTGTCAGCTGAAATCCTTTCTGTGAGTCCTGCACCTGCCACCTGAATATTAGGACAGGCCTTTTTCACAAGAGACACGTTGACATGTCTCTGTGGTAAAGGGACAAGTGCAAATAGTGCAGTGAAATCATGGCTGAGGTTCATTCAGCTGCTTCAGTTTCAGGGTCATGGTATCTTGTTCGCTGGCTTACTGTCACACTATCATTTCTTACTGGGGCACTTCAACACTATAATGTTATTGATAATACCTGTGCTTTCTCTACTACAACAAGTTAAACTGTTTGTACCAAAAGACAATATGGTATGGTATGTAAGTTTAAAAAAAGAAAATAATCCCACTTCTTTATTACATGCTGTGAGGACAGTATGGGGAAAACATCATCTTATCACCTCTATAAATAGTCCTGCATCATCACTTAAATTTGAATATGCTACAGTTGAGAGGATAACAGTGTCCATACAGTACTACTCATTCATAGCAGTTTTATCTCAGACGATGTCATTGTAGTGCGGAGAAATAAAGGTATTGATTATGCAAAATGAAGTATGGGTAGTTTATAGTCAGTGTGCAAGTTTTCATTAAATTTGTGTTTGTCTCATTTTTCTTAATTTCTCATTGATGGAAGTGTATGAGATGAAAGATTGTACTTCAGACTTCAGTGGCCTAAATTTTCCTAATATTTCATGATAATGGACACAGTTGAGCTTATTATCAAAATGCTTTTGACTGATTTATCTGGAGTTTCTAGCAATAAATTGAGTAAGGATGTCTTTGTGAGTAGCTCAATGACCAGGTAGTTGTGTACTGGAGAATCAAATGCTGCTGACTTCATCAGCTCTGAGCTCAGCACTGTTATTATTGTTTAAAGATGTGATCTGTATGTCCTGCTCTCAGTGTAGAGGGCTCGCATCTCTTATCCATCATTCATTAGCTTTTCAACCTTAAACTACTCAATCTATACTGTAGCCTAGGTGTGTGATAAAAGGCTTATCAGCAGTGTAGTGCAGATACACAGCAAAACATGGGTGTTCTTCAGTGGCAACAAGAGTAGGGTGTGAGCAAAGGTCCCTTTATCTCTTAAATACAGTGATTTCAGACACTGAAGAGCTTTTTGGCCAAATTACACAGTAGACTGGTCACAGAGTCGGCTGGCAGTGGAACCACATCCCCTTTTTATCCGGTCAGTGTGTGACATTTCTGTCCATATAAATTACCATGACAACTCCCTTTGTGTTGTGGTCTCTCTCTCGTCATCACACAGGCAGTAGCTACTTTACTACATAGCCCAGTCCTAATGAAACACGGCTCATAAAACTATGTTAACATACTCAACGTTCACACACGCAGACGCACACATTCACATACACACAGCATGGTCATTGAGCAGACAAATGAGGACGGAAGAGACTGCTCTTATGAAGGAAGAGAAATTCGAGTGTAACTGGTCATTGAAATCTGAGCTGTGTGAGTACATTTGTGTGAGCGTGTGTGTGCATGTGAATGTGTGTCTGTGTGCGTGTACTTCAGGAGTGGTGTGTACAGGTAGCCTGGATGAAGCTTGACTGACTTCTCAAAGTGCACTGAGATCAAGATTAGTGAGAATCTGGACCAAAATATGGTAGCACCTAAGACAGAATTAAAGTTGTCTTTTTAAAAGATATATATACATTTTACCAGCACTTCTTTTTAAAAATAATATAATTCTGTCATATGTATCTGCTCTGAATGGTTTGGGTGTGAGTTGGAGCATGTAAATTGCATTTAAACTGGAGTAGTTTCAAATCCTATTGAAGTCTGGATACACAACATTATTAATTGGCACACCGGTGTTTTCCTCTACATGTCTGGACCTGGTGTGTTTATGTGTGTCCGCTTGTGTGCTTGTTTGTGTGTTGAGTGAGCTTCAGTCTAGTGGCCTCTGATTAATGTGGTTTTGTTACATGTCTTAATTTTAGTATCAACTCTCAGAGAAGCAATAAGGAAGCAACAGACTAATGTCAATAAATGGAAAAAGAATTAAGAGGGAGCTGCTCAAATAAATTCTAAGTTTACAGCATTCTTCAGGAACAGCTCTGACTCATTTTTAAATCTTCAAAGTGTTTTGCAGAGCTGTTGTAGGTTTAATAGTCCTCTTCTGTTTTTTGCCTGTCTTTTCTGGAGACACAATCATGTGTGACGTCAGAACCTTGTGAGTTTAACTTTGGTCACATGGTTCCAAGTGATGATGAACCACCCACACCCTCGCTTTGATGAACACATTTGTTGCCATTTGTCACCACACAGGCTTGGTGCATTTCTTATTTCTAGATTTTGCCTATAAGTGCCTCATGAAGTACAAAGAATAGAAAGCCTTAACCAACCTCAACATCCAGATTTGTGCTGCCATCTGCCTCACTGTTGGTAGGTCACACATTTTTTTTTTTATTGCATCTGTTGTTTGTGACAGCCTTGTTTCTGTATCTGTTCAGTTTTAAAACACACCCACGGGAAGACTGGGCTGGCAGATTTTACAGATAAATACAGTATGGGATTACAAATAACTGTCCGTTTATCCTCAGCACACACCCAAAGATAATTATTGGGCTACCGACTGTCCTGTTTGTGTGTACATGCATGCCTGTGTGCGATCATGAGTACTGTGTATGGAGGGAGATTGACACCAGTTGCTAGCTCCAGAGTAAATGCCCATTAATTTGAAACTGTGCCCACTGGACTAAAGTTTCAGTCTCATCCTTTGCATAGTATCTGCCACGTGTGTCTGTCAGTCCATACTCTTTCTTAAAATACTCTCAGCAAACTAGGTATTCTAAGATAACGTTCCTTCCTGAGGTCTCAGACGATGGAAGATTTTTAGACAGATGCAGACACATCGTCCCTGTCCCACACAGCCTTCACAAAATCTACTCTATTTAGAAGTTAAAGGTTCATGTGGTCAGCCACTAGCTCAGCACTGCTGACTAAGGGAGTTCCCTCTTTTTTCTTTTTTACTGAAAGGCTATAGCGTATGTACTTTTAGCAGGGAGGAAAATGTTTTCGTGTATGTGGTCACATCTGGATACTCAGGGTTATTTTTTTATGATGATGGGTTAAATTTAACCTCTGTGAAATTTGAGTTAGGTGAGAGAGAGAGAGAGAGAGAGAGTATTTGAGGCTAGGTGTTGGCAGTGGTACAGTATGTATCTGGTAATATCTGCATCACAGACCATCCTGTTTTAAATAGAGAGGGTGTGGATGCAGTGCCTGACCAACTGACGGAGCATATTGGATCACAAGCATCCAGTAAAGCATGTGGTTGTAAACTTTGGTCTGTGCATGTTTTGCTCCTCCACATGAGATGAAGTAGTTAACTTCTTAATTAAATTCTGAAAGTGCTACGCTTATTCACATTGTATGAAAATGCAGGATCTTTTCTTGATCTGCATGTCATTAACAATTACAGCAATGTCTACAGTGACTAATGTTCCAAGTAGGAGCTTATTATAAGGCCAGGCACAGTAGGATGTAATTAAAGGTTCCTTGGTCTGTGCACAATCAAGAAGCACTGCCTCTCTGTATATATTTACTCCAAAGCCATGCCGTGATACATCGGAAACATTTCAGACATCTAGACTGGCTTTATTTATAGACTCTTGTGCTCCATAGGCCCCAGCTACATTATCCAACCTATTTTCAACTGTTTGCCACCCTCTGTCCCTGGTGAAAGAAAGCACTGGCACTGGCAAACACCTTTAACAACAAACTGCTGCCTGTATCAAGCATCTACAATGGACTGTATCTGTGTGTGTTATGCAGCTGTTATGGGCTGCTCAGATTTATTTCTGGAAGCCTGCTCTCATATGTTAGCCACTGTGGTATGTGGGTTTGTCAGGGAGGAAGACAGACGGACTGTATGGGTGTGTGCACAGATGGACTCCTCAAACACCAACTGACGTGCCAGTGGTATCGCCTGATAAGGCAGAGGTGATGGAGTGTACTTTTCTCATGCACAAGTGGGGAATGCTTTTGCACATTTTTAACCATTTAACACTGCTGCAAGCTTCTATCTTAATTTGAGAGAACACAACGTGTAAATGTTTTGTGCCAGCACATCAGTAATTTAGCAGCAGGTATTATATTTTAAGAAATGATTATTAAACCTGCAGGGGCTGTCAGCAGGGAGCACATGCACATTTTTATGGAGTCGTCTTTCCATTACAAGTAACTGAAAAGTTTTTT